CTCCTTCGGAGATATTTACGTAGAAGGTTCTCCTTCAGAGATATTTATGTAGAAGGTCCTCCTTCAGAGATATTTACTTAGAAGGTTCTCCTTCAGAGATATTGAAATAAAATGTTCTCCTTCAGAGATATTTAGGTAGAAGGTCTTCCTTCGGAGATATTTACGTAGAAGGTTCTCCTTCAGAGATATTTACGTAGAAGGTCTTCCTTCGGAGATATTTACGTAGAAGGTTCTCCTTCAGAGATATTTACTTAGAAGGTTCTCCAGAGATATTTACATAAAATGTTCTCTTTCAGAGATATTTATCCAGAAGGGTTCTACTCATATTTCACTTGTCCAACAGATGGAGAACCTTTAAAGAACTTTGTGCGAAAGGAAGGCAGATTGATGTACAGATCGCGACATTTTAGAAACATTGTTTACATCCCGAGTGCTAGGATTCCCATCATCAAGTTCCAACATGTCAAGACTGGTTGGCAAGGTGACCTGACAGCCAGTAGTCAGCTGGGTGTCTGTAACACTCGGCTCATCAGGTCAGTACATCTGATATGTAGCCATTGCCATACATTGGGCCTTTTTTTTGTCAGGTACTGATCCACCCAAGTCAGTTGTATTGCAGACTTTTCTTCAATCTTTATATTTGCTGTGTCTGAGGTTGAAGCCATTTAAAAAAAGTAACGATCTTGCTATGTCACAAGTGATACAAAAATGTGAACGCTCAGAAACTTCAATAACTGCATACGAAATAGGTTAGAAAACAGCGGGAGTACCGGCCCAACAGGAGAATGTGAGATTGCTTTGCATGAGTAGATCTTAAGATATCCTTAGCAGTCAAAGCATCAACTAATATTTAGCCTCAAAACCTAGCCTAGTATCTAGCTAGTATTTAGATCAAAACTTTATTTAAAAAAAACCTTTGTAAATTCCAAAACTGTGTTGCCTTTGTCCCTCCCATTGTTGCCTCACACTATTAACTCCACAATTTTGACAGTATTTTGTTTTAATTCAGGTTCCTGGTCTCATTGGATCATCGTATCAAGCCTTTAGTTATGATCATCAAATATTGGGCCAAGGTGAGTAAATGGGTTTTTATTTAATTAGTAGCTTTGTCTACTGTCTATCTTCAGCAGTAGTAGGCCTAATTGATTAAACATTTTAGTAGCCCTTTTGAAACACAGTAAAAAGATCAGCAAAGTTGATATTATACTGTCTAGATTCAAAATCTCATTCCCACGAAAACTTAAAAAAAAAAAACAAATATAAACTTGATATGTAACCATTTACTTTTGGAGTCTGGAGTAGACGTCCGAATTATATTAACTAGCTGTCGACAGTTTTTATTCTAATGAAAAATGAATTGAATTCGAATGAGACTGACTAAGAGTGCTAATGTGCAAGTTCTTATTAGTTCACAAGTTATTTCTGTTTCCTAGTTTAATTTGTTTACTACAGTAGTAAAAGTGACATAACAAATGCATTACGATAAATTTTGCTGTCAGTTTAGCTTGTTTAACAAGTTGACAGTAAACAGAAATCAGTGATTGACTTGAGCGCTCTTCTGCTGGTCACTCAACTAGCTACAGCTTTAACAAGGGAACGGAATGTCTTAGCCAATTGTGTAACATGCATTGTGGTTGTGTTGCAGGTATGTGGTATCACTGACTCCGGTGCTCATAGAGAGTTCACCACGTATTCTCTGGTGATGCTGGTGATATTCTACCTACAACAGCTTGACGAGCCGTTGCTGCCAACCATCGCACGACTGCAGCAGATGTGTCAACACAAGCAGTACAGTCTCGGCTGGGAGTGCAGCTTCTGTGATGAGGAGTGGAGTGTTCAGTCCCAATGTCTCCCTCCAAACAACATGTCTCTGCGACAACTACTGACTGGCTTCTTCAAGTTCTACTACAACTTCGATCTCGACAATGTCATCTGTCCTCTCCTAGGAAGATCTGTTCATGTCAAAGATTTCGAGACTGAAGACGGAAGCGAACTTCCCGAGGAAATGGTGTTGTACAAAGAAAGACTCAAGAGTGACCCGAAGTGCAAGTTTAAAACAGATACAACCTTCAGGGTCCAAGATCCGTTTGAGTTGTGCCTTAATATAACTAGAAACGTTGTAGACAAAACCTGTTCAGTTTTCAAAGAAGCGTGCAAAGTGTCATTGGAGCTGTGCGAGCAACAAGCGGATGACGCTTTGTTGGAAGGTTTGTTCAGTATTGATAAAGACTCACTTGATCTCGGTGACGATTTGAGTATAAACATTACTTGTGGAGAAATGTCTTTCGATGGTTCACAGACTTCCGACAGTGCCTTTACAGAATGGTGCCAGATGACCAAACAGTCAATAATGTTAGTTTTGGAACACATTTATAAATTGGATGTCAACCTGCAAAAAGAAAAGGTTTTTAAGAAAGTAAAGAAATTGGAGTCATCACAGGATGTTCACAATCTTGACTCTACACATGAAGATAGCCAAATATTTGAGTGTTGTTGTAAAGTCGATGTTTGGCAACGTCGCAAGAAAAAGGAAAAGTCTTTGAATAGAATGGATTTTAATTTGAATTCGTTTGAAAGAGAGGTTTGTATATCCAACACTCTTTTTCACCCAAATGATAACAAACCATTTTTTTTTACTATAAATCTTTCAGTGCTGAAGTCAGCAAAATCAAAGGGGATAAAAATGAACGTTCATGTAAAAAGGACACAACATAAACTGATCAAAGGGTTTATGAACTCTATGAGATATGATTTCAAAATATTTGTCTCCCAAGCGCAAGATTTTGTCGTCAGTGTTAAAAAGTCATCTCCACTCGATGGAAAAGATTCATTAAAAGGATTGTTACAGTTGAAACTTGAAAAGTTACCTGATATAAAAGATTTAATGATGAAAGAGTCCATTAAAAGAAATGCTGCTAAAATTGCAATGGAAAAAGAGAAAAGGTCTACGACTCAAAAACATTGTGAAAAGAGTTGTGAAACTGTAAGCAAACCTTCTCCTAATGATGAACAACAAACAGTAAATCAAGTTGCATCACATGAAAACTTGCCAACTCAGGAAACTCAAAAACTTATCAACAATTTTTTCAAGCCAACTAATCATGAGGGATCTTGTAAAAGCTTAAATCATTCTGAAGTAGGTAAGTTTAACAAATTACTGAATTCCATCCAAAAAAATGAAACACAATCAACATTTACTTCTAAAAACACTAATGCCTTTCTGGCAAGTATTGAAAAGGTGGCCTTAAACTCTTCAGAAATGTTAAGTAATTCTGAAACTGATCAAACAAAAAATCTGAGTGGAGAAAAAAAGTCTTGTAATTTAGAACAACAAGGTAACTCAAAGAAAATTGAAGAAAACATTGAAGATCAAGCACTTGTGGTAAAGAAAGTTGAAGAAAAAATAGATGCACTCTTACAGATGCATCGAGCACTTCTAGACAACAAACAAGATCAAGATAACCAAAATCCAACTGAGAAAAGAACAGTCAGTGAAATAAATGACCCTGTACAAAGTGGCTGTCCAAAAATAATTGAAAAACTGCCTTCTGCAAGTGTAGAAACAGTAGAGGCCAAAAATGAAAGTGATCATAAAATTAATCAGAGTATTGATCCCAAAACTGTCATAGAACGGCCAAAGATCTATTCAGAAAGACCTAAGAAACAGTGGAAGCCCAACAAGACTTGTGGTAACGAGAAAGCACCTCAAGAACCACGGTTGTGGGTTGGAGGTGGACCTCCTAATTGTCTACCATACCATAGTCAAAGTCAACCACAAGCTGCTGCTACCAATAAACCCAGCTCTTCTACCAAGTCACACTGTAGCATTCAGAATCAGAAAAAGTGGTATCCGAGCTTGCATAAAGACATTAACTAACAAAATACTTAGATTTTAATATGTCTTAGTGACAAATATCTGTTAGGAAGCAGTTGCTTGTGTAAAGACAGTAAGTAAATGCTTTTATTTTAATATTGTTTTACTGACTAACATCTGGTAGTAATACCAGTTAAACAATTTGTTTCCCTTTATAGGACGTAGTGTAATGGTTGTAACCAAATCACTGAATTGGTTTATGTTTCAAATTGATAATATATTTTACCTTGTACATTGACAGTTGCTTAATTGACTGTTTTGTAAACTTGATTACACATTATATATATATATATGTATATAAATTTATAGGTGTGTTTCATTGCCTCAAATTTTTTTGTATACACCTTTTGCATTTTTTTATGTTAATGTAAGGACTAATACATTTTAGCACCATTAATTGGTAGCCCAATGACTATTGGCATCTGGGTCCAGTTAAAATCTCGCTTGGAAATAAACCAGCAAACTTCATGTTTTAAAATGAACATATAAACCTTCAAATAAATTTAACATTAGGTCAAATTCTCATTATATGAAATACTATAATATAGTACCCAGCATCAACAGTTTAACCGATTTCTACCCTTTGAAATATTAAATATTCCATACCCAATGGCTGAGTCAAGAGCTCGCTCACAGACGGGAAAGGTACAGGAACTGTGATTTCCCTATTCCAATACCTAAACATAATTTGTTTAGCCCTCTAACTGGCTTTTCTTACAGTCATAGGGTTGCTCAGTAAAACTGAATGGTTTTGTAAATTATGTTGTGGTGTGTTGGTTAGTACCAATGCACTAATATCTACAGGTAGAACCTGTCTAGGTCAAAATCTGTTGTTAGCACCCATAATCGACAGTAAAATTCGTTTGATATTTTGATAAGTGGTGAGGGGTCTGAGACATCTTCCTCTGATGATTATTTGTAAAATGTAAAAAGGGTATTTCCTCTCTGTCATGTCAACACAAATTCCGAAACTAATACGATTTAGGTAAAGTTATTTTACTTTCTAACATTATGTTTGCATAATCCTCAAACAAAATTGCTGCCATAAAAACAATATTGAAGCTGGTACAATAAGAGCCTCTTCTGATTCAAAGTATACAAGGTTTTACAAATAACAATCCCAACATACATCAGTACCATTTACTAAGGTCTTACAACAAAGATTTACAATATGTTGTGTATAACTTTGTAGAACAAAGTCTCTATTGTTTTAACGTAATATCAATTTTTCAATATAATATAAACATTCTGGATAAGTTATATACAGCCCGAGAGGGGTTGGTGGAAACTATAATAAAAATCACATTATGAAGGCTACCGATAAACTGTACACACACTTTAGTAGAATCTATAAACAACACACAAAATAAAACAAGTCTGTACAACAGTATAAATTCCTTGGGCTCCACTCTGGTTATATTGCTGCGCTGCTGGTTTCGTCAGTCTTTACTTGAAGTTTGGCACACACTTAGAGTCTCTGCTATTCACTTCTCTCAAGTTTAAAGCTTTCATCAGGCTAAATTTTACAGTTTCATTTATAGAACAAATTTCATTAGACAAACTAATCGCCAGTAATGAAATACTTGAAACAAACGTGACTTAACACGTAGCAGACCTATGATAAAATTTGTATTTGTAACTTACATTTTCTGTTAAAATCAACTAATAATTTAAAATTACTCAAGAAACTCACAATCTGTTATCAGTGTAAAAATGGCTTAAAATAATAATAAAACTTGTAATTTTGTAAACATTTTTTGTACTGAATATAAATATTAAAACTTGATATAAATAACCCTTGAAATCATTGGAAGTCTGCCATTTAGAAAAATAAATCAAACATATTAAATGCATTTCACACTGTGGCTTTCCTGTACAACTCCACAATAATTTATAACTCTAAAAATTAGATAACTAAACAGCTGTAAAACACCAACTATTCAAACTGCTACTGAAAATTGACAAGATAGGGACTTAGGAGTTGACAAATTCTTTATTTATTGTACAATTCTATAAAACTGTTCCACCACACAGTTGGGAAAACCAGAACTCAGCAAAATGTACGAGAAGTGATTAAAAATTATAAAACAATTTTATACATTACAAGAATTATAACAGTAAATAATACAACTGTACATTGTTTAAAAAACCTTAAAAGTTTCTCGCTTAACCCATAAATAAAGACTAAGTAAAATGGCCTTAATCGAGCTAGGTAGGTGTAAAGATATTGTCTTTCGAGTGATGTCACAATTCATAAATAATATACTCTATTACATTCAAACTAAATAAAGATAACAAAAATACTGTTTCGCTTATATTGTATAACAGGGAGTATTAAGGTAACCACTACAGAATGTGAACTTTAGCACCGACACGCTCATGTTTAATCTACGGTTTTATCTTGTGTCAATTTATTTCCCAGTTTAAACATTCGATCAGAAAGACTACTTTAAAAAATTTTAATTCCTTTCATTAGGGATCAAACTTGCATTCACCTTGGATATTACATGAAGGAACCGTTTGAGAAATATTTAAGTTTACTTTCTCCATACATAGTTGCAGTAATAAAAAGTTTTAAATGCAAGAAAATATTGAGAACAAAATCTACAAATCGATTCCTCACAAACTTCAATAAAATTGACTGGAGGGATGATCGATAAAACATCGTTAACGGGAATAAAAATTGATAACACACATACAAATTTTAATCCATTTACGAATTGAAAGGATCGACGAATCTATCATTTTGTATAATAGAAAAATGTATCTAAATGTTAACGGCAGCGGCACTAATAGGCTCTAGAGCTAACACGAAGATTCGATTAAACATGTGATTAGAACGTGACAGAACGCAGTTGAACGGAACGCGGCAGAGTTGCCGCCAGTGTGGACGCTAGCTCGGCCCGTCTCGGCCTTCACTGCCCACAATCTGCAACAAACAAACACAGACATTACAAGCTGGTCAACCAATTTAACATCTATAACTAAGCTTCCAATACGTCAATATATCCGTGTGATTTTTTAGGAGTAAAATACCAAACAAGTTTGATTAGTTTTTTTGTTAGGACAAAAATTGATTTGATTGATAGATACTGTCGATATTTTTCGATATTATTCTGAGAGACAGGAGAAAATAAATGTATGATTGTGTCTACAACGTCACTACTGAAGATAAACAACCAATGACAGAAGGCTTTTGACCTATCAAATCTCTAAACAAAAGCTTTTTGAACCTCGCAGACGTACCAATATTCCTCACAGAGACTTGAGCCAAGATGCAGGCACCCACTGAGGCTCTCGCTCCAGACTGTTGATCTCGTTAAGCAGTTGGTGGTAGGCTCGCTCTGTGTCATTGTTGATGATGATCATGTCGAACAAGTGACCGTACTTGTCCTCCATCTCTCGTGCTTTCTCTATCGTGTCCTTCAGGTCTTCCTCCTGGTGACAGGTAAAGCGTAGTTAGATAAAACTGAGACTTATCCATAGACTAAGCTTCATGTACTCTCTTTCAGGCTTAGCAGACGAAAAAAATGAAGTACAACCATGTTAAGTCGGACTAGCCAACAAAAAAATTTGTGTTAGCCGAAAGGAGAGCAAAAAATTAAAATCTACTTGCAATAAGTGCTCACATACCTTGAAGGCTTCACCATTTCGTATCTTCTTTTGTCGAAGCTTCTCTAACGATGGAGGAGCGACAAACACAACGTAAGGCTTCAGGTCCGAGCTTCGCAGTATTTTGAGCGACTGCGGGTGAAGATTGAGCACGCAGATCTTGCCGGCGTTGACGACTGAACGAATGGCATCAAGCGATGTGCCGTAATACGCTCGTTCGTACTCTCCATGTTCTACGAACTTGCGGGAGAGGATGTCGGCTTCGAACTGAGCTCTTGTGATGAAGTGGTAGTCTTGCCCATCCACTTCACCGTCCTTGCGAGTTCTGCTTGTGTCTAGAAAAAAAAATTATGAGGATTTTCAACGGTGCAGAATAAAGATTTCATACTCCATTCATTACAATATAAAGAATGTAAAATGAAAGAACAATTAATAGTGGAATACATTTCCTGGAATTACTCTCTCTTTCTGCAACAAACTATATTTTTTCCTCGGTAACATATTTTATTTAATCCTTAAGAGGAGATTTTTACTCTTAGACCTGGAATACTCAATAATCATGAGTTTTGAAGTAGGTAGCCTATCTCATCTTATAATTAGATTCTAGATTTTGAAGGAATTCACAAAAACGCTTTTCTTTGCCCACCAAATGAAGATTATTACTAAAGAAATTACATGAGTAAAGTACACAGTAAGAAAAAGGTTTTTTTTGGGTGTGGATTCAGTTAGCATTGACGATACTCATCTTCTATTTATAAGTTTAACTGAGTATGGATTTCTTTGTAAAAGAAATGCCAATTAAATTTTTGCGTGATTAGTAAATAACTTTTTTTCAGTCAAATTCCCCAACTTAACCAAGTCAAACCAACAGCAAGACTGATAGTAATCAATAGAAATTTGTATAATACATAAACTATCTCAATAACATAAAATTAGGCAGAAAACTTAATTTTTGACCAAAGTGCACTTGCACTCTGTGGGTGACTCGTTGAACTACTTTATTATTTATAAAAAAAGTGGAAAGTAAATAAAAGAAACGTCTTATAACACTTAAAATAATTTTAAGTGATGATTTTAAGTGTTATAAGACGTTTCTTTTATTTACTTTCCGTAAATTTAATAACACGTACAATGCTGATCAAGAAGTTATTTAAAAAAAGTGGATACAGCCATATGAATTGAACATCTACTTCAGTATTTGTTGTTCAGTATATTCCCAAAGCCTGTTGTTCTTCAGTTAGAGCTTAAATAGTTTATCCTGCCATCTTAGAGGCATACATTTTTTTGTTAACGATAAAATTAGCTCTAAAACTTACTGAAATTATTTTAAGAGTTAAAATAAAACTGTTGCTCCAAGACTTACGAGGTATGGCTGCAGCAAATCTCTCCGAGTCCTCCATTAGTCTCTGGCGTAGTTCGTGTCGTCCTATGTTCGGAGGTCCTATCAGGACTATCGGCCGCTTGTGGTTGGCTCGTGGGTAATACAAAGCCACTTCCTCGTACGTTAGAATCTCTTCCGCTTCATATTCTGAAACAATTGAAACAAAGATAAAATATGAAAAAAGACTTGTCAAGAGAACCTTATAGTCAGTCATCCCTGCTTAAAGACAAGGGAAGATTAGTATTCTTGCTTCACAACCAAGGATATCAAGTTCATTCCTACAGGGCTTGTAACAGTTCTTGAGGTAAAAAAAAATAAAAAAAAATAGCCAAAATAATAAAAAAATAACCTTCAATAAACCCAAAGTGTCGCTAAAAATTACAAAAACCGGCATTTTATTGGGATATTAAAAATATGTGGGCAATAAAAATTACATAGGATAATTTTGAACTAGGTACTGTGATAATCTACTAAGGCAATAATAATAAAAAAAATGGAAAAATTGAAAAAAGTCCTCCCATCCTCCCCCTTACTTTTTTCCATTTTTTTCCTTTTCAAACATTTATTTAGACAAAAAATACAAAAACAAATATAATTAATATCCTAATACTAACATTTTTTACTTAGATAAATGTTAACATCAAATTAAAAATATATATTGAATAAAACATCAAAGTCAAACATAACTCTTAATTATTAGGTCTGAAAAAAAAAAACAGAATCGTTATTATAGGTTCTTTACAAACTATTTCAAGAAGTACAAGCGAATTCACAATGCTTGAAATAGCAATAAATTATTATATACATTTGAACTTAATGTCGCGATCTTGTAAATCTCTTGCTCTTTATACAGAGAACGAGAGAGTTACAAAATATTATAACACTTTGATATTGTTAAGTTGGTTAACCAGCCAGAAAATCTACTTAATTCATTCATCAATTGTTGAAACTGGCTAGTCTGACGCTAACTACAATCTGTAATAAACGGATTGGAGCGGGAAATTTCCCCCTCAGTTCAGGTTGACAAGTATCATAAACCAAATAAAACAGGTATTAATTATTTAAACAAATTGTTAATTTTAAATAGCATAACAATATGTACACATACAAATATGTATAAAGTCACAGGTCTTAAATACAGAATCAAATGTACAAAGACAAGAATATAAATCTATGTTCATTTTGGTTTATGTTGCTAATCCTACCCCACTTCATTGGGGGCATTTCATGAGTTTTAAAAGTTTTACGAGCTTCATCAAAATTGATCAATAAACACCTAAGTTAATTGCCCTAAAAAATAAAAAAAAAATAACCAAAATCCCCCAAAAAATAAAAAAAATAACCAAATTCCAAAAAAATAACAAAAAATAACCAAGAGCAAAAAAATAACAAAAAAAAATAACCTGTTACAAGCCCTGTTCCTAAAGAAAGACCAATATTTTTGTCATAGAGAAGGTGGGAATGAGCCAAAGCCACACTAAAAAAAACAGGCCGTAATGCTTGTCAAGCATGGCGTCACAATAGAAGACGGCAATGACGTATTTATTTATTTTCCAAGCAAAGATTAAAACAAGCAGCTGATCACGAACGGCAAACATTACGTCATTGCCGTCTTCTATCGTGACGTCATGCTTGACGAGCATTACGGCCTGTTTTTTTAGTGTGGCCTTGAATGAGTCTATTTTTACTATTTTTTACTGACTCCTAACCTCAAGAAATTCTCCTAACCTCAATTTAATCAACTAACTCCTCTAAGCATGCTCTTTATAAAACTACCATTTAAGTGTTAGTGAGAATCCCTAAAACCTTTTTTTTTATTTACAGGAATATATTATGCTTCTAATAATATCTTTAATGAGTGAATTTTTCTGTGCTGGCCAAAATTGTACTTAAGTTTTGAACTTGAGCTGACATTTCTTTTAAATCTTTCCATTCAATCTTCCGCCCCCTGCAGAAGTTTGATTACATGTTGAAATATTGGTGTTATGTTTTGTGACCTTTTTGGTGAATCTAATTAACCCCTGGACACTGATGTTACAAGCTAGATGAACTCTATTCATTAAAAAGCTAAATCCATTGCAATAGAGATTCAAAATAATATCTTTTGGAATACTAACTGTTTGAGTGTTTTTAAAAACACTCAAACAGTTAGTATTCCAAAAGATATTATTTTGAATCTCTATTGCAATGGATTTAGCTTCTCACTGTTAATGTATCAAGAATACTGTACTTACCATCTGCTGAAGTAGTGTGGTAGATGGGATAGCCACCGTCATTGTAATTAGTACTATAAGGCATTTTCTTCTTTTTCTTTTTAGGAGTTTTCTTCGCACACAAGAACGTTCCAGCTTTTTTAGACTTTTCTCTCCCTATTTTATCGCCAGTGATTGTCTGCTTCAAAGATTCTCGCCTGCAATAAAATCAATTAATTGGGTAACTATCAACTAGTCAGAAAAGCCAGAGTATATACAGACATCAGAAAGTTTTCTACGCTACAATGTTAAAACAAAGTAATGTATTTTGAATACGTTCTTGAAGGAACGATATCAAAGATTAAGCATGAAAATATAATATTACCAGTGGTGCACTCTACTGTATGAGTGGCTAATTCAACTATTTTCTATAATTGAATAAAAAATTGGCAACAGCTGGTCCATATAGATGAAATATCTTCTTCAGTGTCCAAAAGTTGCTATGTTAGCGAGACTTCCTTGCAGAAGGGACGGGTTTGATCCCAGGAATATCGCCAAAGATTTGATGGGCTTGAACCGCTTCCTGTCCAAAAGTGTTTGTTGTTCCTTAAATGAAAACGCCAATGGCCTGGAAACTAACAACAGGAAGTGCCAAATAGCTGTGCCACTTACATAGTTACAGTCTGAACACTTCATTCAGAGATCAGCTGTTAAACATTTTCTTATCAAATTATCATTACTCACTGGTGTTGGAAGGAGCGAGAGGGTATGAGGCCGGCCAGTGTTTGATCCTCTTCCCCCTCCCTGTAGGCTTGCCACCAGTTAGAGTCGTCCTGGCAGATTACATGGAGTACGTCGCCCTTCTGGAAACTGATACCGAGCTCTCGACAAGGAATGTAGAGATCGTCTTCTGGGTCGTAGTCAAAGTGTGCTTTTACATGCACCTGTGGAACGAGGGGATTAGCTTTAGTTGACAAATCAGAAGTGGTGACTTAGGTGAGATCAGGGTGAATTCAATAATGATATTTTCCATTACAATTAATATTAAAGTCCATATTTTTAGCCCCTGAGCTGTGATGTAACTAAAAAATTGTATTTACCTTTTGTCTACAGCTCAATACGTTGTAACTTCCGTTACGGCCGTTTCGGCATTAACATGCCATCATCACAATTAATATGTAGAGTTTAAAAAATACAATTGAGTATTTTGCATGATTGTTTATAACATTTGGTACAGAGACATTCAAGATTTAAGTGCTAAAATATAGTACAGTAGAGTCCCGCTTATCCTAGTACCAATTATTCAAGCCTCATGGTTAACTAAGGCCACTGTTGAAAATAAAAATTTGCCTTTCTTTATAAACTCGATAATTTTTTTAATTAAAAAGTTCTACTTAGCTTGCTAGTTCCATAAATGACCATTTACTTAACGGAACAATCCTAACTCCATGCCCAAGTGTACTTACAATGCTGTCCCTAGCTGAGGAGGTGCGTCGACTGGTTCGATTCTGACTAGGCACAATGAGGAACGTCAGAGTCCCCGTCATGGTAGACAGCAGATCACAAACATCATTGACTGACTTGCCTCTCATCTCTATACCGTTCACCTCCAGAACCTAAACAGATGTTCATTTATGATTAAAAATAATCAACACGTTGAAATAGTTCCTAAGTAGTGTTACATGCAATCTTTAGGTACTAAATATTTTTGGAGCCAAACTGCCAAAGTTGTGCAAGTTGTGAAGATTGAAAGGGGTCGCCCTTATGTTCCTTTTACTTCTCATTAAATATCTACCTTCTGTTAACTGTTACACTGCCAAGGTATATGACCAAAATTTATTCACAAAACTTTCTGAGCATAAATCGCTCCTTCACTCTATCAATTTTATTTGTTTACTAATGACCAATAAAACTTTCTCTAATAATCCTTAGTAGTCTAAGACCAGTAGCATAAAACTAGGCCTGACCTCGGCAAAATTAATAACAAAACAAAACCAACTGGAATGTGTTAGGCATGCTTCCCTTAACATTTTGTGAAAATTCCCAACTTTTCCCACTGTAGCAAAATCCACTGTGTAAATGGGAGGTTGGGGTTCCCCCGTCAGCTCGCTGACGGCCCCTTCCTTCTGGCTATGATGGCGGGTTCTGCCTGTCAGGGATTAGATAGGTCCCGAGTGTTACTTGCACTAAATGCGTCGGGGCGCTCCAGTATGGTCCTCCAGGGTGTCGTACCTGGTGGAACCCAACTGGAGTGACGCTTAAACAAGTAGCCGGAATCCCTGGTTAGGATTGAGGAGCAACCCTCTTTCCGAAGGGTCTGCTTCGGCAGCCGGTGAGCTTGATGGCCTTAAGTCATCCGCCCATGATGTGCTAAAGGTTGATGCGTAAGCTTCGGCCTACATCATGGGGCCCGGGTATGTCACACGATAAGTACCGGGTATGTAGTCAGGGGGCTTCGGCTCTCATGACAAAGAAATGTATGTATGTAATGTAGCAAAATCCGCCATCTTGGAAAATGGCGGACAATCTATAAACACTGCAAGGTTCCACTTAAAAACTTATTGTTCCCAAACCATTCCATCTAGAAAAGTCTAGTTAGTCTTAGATTCTTCGCCATATTATTATGTAAAAGAAGATATCATATTAAATAATAGTAATTAATAGGGGAAAAACAAATTAAATTTTAAAATATGAAAACAAAAGTAGACATATTCTAACTTTTTTTTGGTTTTCGCCATTATTATTGAGTAATTGCAGATTTTACCTGCAACAAACATGTAGAGCTTTAAATTCCGCTTCATTTCCACATATAATATAACAATGTTTAAGCAATATTGACGTAAATGGCGAGTGTCAAAGTACACTCTCATGTAACGCACCTGTGGGACCAAAATGCATATAGTGTGGTTGTATGGTTGTATAAAGTGGCAGAATACTTCAGTTCTGGCGGGGAACATGCAACTTGAGGTAGTAGCATAGTATAGAAGTCCCTGAACGTAAAACTGCCCAGACCCCAATTTTTAAGGACCTCGGTCGTCCGTAATGACGTCATCAAGATGGCGGCTGTAAAAGGATGCTGGGTCGCCATGAATCGGTTATAACACCCACTTGCCTGAACCGATTTTAATGAAATTTGGCATACAAGTGCTTGAATACATTATCTCAGCCCAGGTTGTCAATGGTCGAGTTTGAGTAAGTTGTTTCAAAATGGCGGCCGTTAATAATTAAAATAATACAAATGTTTCAGTTTTTTGTGTTTTCAACTCCCTCCAGAGATCTGCATCAACCTATTAATATCCCTTGCAATCACAGGTTGTGATGCCGTCTCTAAATTTCATGGAATTGGCAAAATACCCCCACCACAGCAAACCTGCAGACTTAAGTGAGTTTCTATTTGCCTGATTTGATTTTAAATTAAATCTATTTCAATAACATTAGACTTCGTGAGTACCTGGGTTTGCTGCTACAGGGAGAGTAATAAAGCAAGTTTTTTTAATTTATGTAATAGTAGCAAAGTTTAAAATAAATACATTTGCCAAGTTTCATAAAAATATATTCATAAACAAGCAAACTACAACAGTTTATGTATTCTCCGTAAGAATAACATGGGAATAATTAAAAAAAAAATTGAACTTTCTCCGTAACCTATAACCGTACAAATACACTTCAATATACTAAATTATATTTGTTTTTTTCAAGATCTTGGAATTGTTTGAAGATAAATTGGAGAATGTCATGTTTTGAGGTTTAAACATAAGAAACCCCAATTTTTACCCCTTAAATCCCGCCTAAAACCTCGTACCCATGGTCCGATTACGCTGGTTTGCGAACTTGTTCGAAGAAACGTAGGTTTACACGTTTGTACCAAATGTCATCAAAATCGGATGAGTGTTCAAAAAGGGTAGGAACAAAATTTACAAATTGATCCCTTGTGCCAAAATAAGAAGAACATAGTTTCGTTCAGATATCCACTGTTTTGTAATTTTTATTAAAATTTGTATCTTTGGATTGAACTTTATGAAACTTGCTATGTTTGTAAAGGTAGAATATGCCAATTTAAGGTAAAAAAATTACCTTGGTCCAATTCAAAAATTTAAAATGGCGTTTTAATTTAAATACAAAATTATTGATAATTGAAGATTTTATGAAAAATCGTATAACATTTAAAATTCCCTATCAAACGATACTAAGTTCAAAAAAATCTTAAGAGAAATGACTGATATGTCACGATTTTTAGTTGTAAATATAGTCGGAATGAGGCTAAGCTAGCCAGGTTTTTTTCAATTTACAACTAAAAGTCTTAATATTTAAATTATTTTTATTCAATCGTTTTGAACTGGAAGTAGTTTGATAGGAAATTTAAATGCTAACCAAAAGTTTTCTTGACACTTTTTCATAAAATCTGCCATTTTAAGTAATTTTGATTTAAAAAATTAAAATGCCCGCCATTTTGAAATTTTGGATTGGACCAAGGTAATTATTTTTCCTAAAATTGGTATGTAGGTGTTTTTGAACACCCTGTTTATGTGTGCGTCCGTTAGCACAATAAATCACACAAAAATTATCCGATTTCGATGAAATTTTGTACAAACGTGTAAACCTACGTTTCTTCGAATAAGTTCACGAACCAGCTTGACCGGACAATGGGAACGGGGTGGTTGGGGGATTTATGGGGTAAAAATTGGTTTTTCTCATTTTTGACCATCAAAACATAGAAATCCCTAATTTATCTCTAAAAAATTGTGAAGAAATTAGGCAAATAAATAATTTAGTATACTGATATATTTTTGTACGGGTATTGGTTACGGAGATAATTCAAAGAATTGTAAATTTGAAATTATTCTTACGGATAATAAATAAACTGTTTTAGTTTGCTTGGTTGGAGATATATTTTGATGAAACTAGGCAAATTTATTTATTTTAAACTAAGCTATTATTATATTAATAAAAACTCACTTTATAACTCTCCCTGTGGCAGCAAACCTAGGTACTCATGAAAACGAATGTTATTGAAATAGCTTTAATTGAATATCAAAATAGGCAAATGGAGCTCACTTGGTCTGCAGGTTTGCTGTGGTGGGGGAACCAATTCCATGAAAAGTAGAGACGGTATCACAACCTGTGATTGCAAGGAATATTAATAGGTTGATTCAGATCTCTGGAGGGAGTTGAAAACACGAAAAACCGAAACATTTGTATTATTTTAATTATTAACGGCCGCCATTTTGAAACGACTTAATCAAACTCGACCATTGACAGACTACCTGGGCTGAGATAATGTATTCAAGCACTTGTATGCCAAATTTCATTAAAATCGGTTCAGGCAATTGGAGGTTATAACCGATTCATGGCGACCCAGCATCCTTTTACAGCCGCCATCTTGATGACGTCATTACGGACGACAGAGGTCTTTAAAAATTGGGGTCTGGGCAGTTTTACGTTCAGGGACTTCTATACTATGCTACCACCTCAAGTTGCATGTTCCCCGCCAGAACGAAGTATTCTGCCACTTTATACAACCATACAACCACACTATATGCATTTTGGTCCCACAGGTGCGTTACATGAGAGTGTACTTTGACACTCGCCGTTTACGTCAATATTGCTCAAACATTGTTATATTATGTATGGAAATGAAGCGGAATTTAGAGCTCTACATGATTGTTGAAGGTAAAATCTGCATTTCCTCAATAATAATGGCGAAAACCCCCAAAAAGTAAGAATATGTCTTATTTTTTTACATATTTTAAAGTTTAATTTGTTTTTTCACTATTAACAATCATATTACTATTATTTAATATGGTATTTTCTTGTAGATAATATTATGCCGAAGAATCTAAGACTAATTAGACTTTTCTAGATGGAATGGTTTGGGAACAATAAGTTTTTAAGTGGAACCTTGCAGTGTTTTACAGATTGTCCGCCATTTTCCAAGATGGCAGATTTTGCTACAGTGGGAAAAGTTGGGAATTTTCACAAAATGTTAAGGGAAGCATGCCTAACACATTCCAGTTGGTTTTGCTTTGTTATTAATTTTGCCCAGGTAAAAGCCTAAAAGGCCTAGCCTATAGTCATAGTAAACAAGTTTGGTAAATAACTTCTTTATAAGCATCATACGTGTTATTAAATCACCTGAAAGCACAAAAACACCTCAAATAACACTAATTGTAATAATACATTTACATTATACTGTTTACTCACAAAACGGTAAATACCACCTGTTATATGTATTTACCATCTTGTGAGTAAACAGTATAATCGTAAATATATTATTACATGTGTTATTTGATGTATTTTTGTGCTCTCAGGGAAAAGATTTGGGCGATTATTTTGAAATGGTTGGGAACCCAACAGTGAGTAAAAAGTGTTACATACACTTGAAATGTTGAATCAAGTTCAAGTTAAAAACAAATTTGAAAACTCAGTTACTAGACAAACAATAAATTTACTATACCGTAATAAAGTCCATTTTCCGTGTAAGTAATGGGTTTAAAGAGAAGAAAAAGAGGTATGAAACGCTATTCTCATGTTATCATCCCAAACACTTGTGCATGTTCGATTGCCGGCAAAAATTTGAGACATTTTGGACCACTTACCCTTGTACTGTTTGAGATTCACACAAGATACCACTGGCATAAGCACTACAGTAAAGAGTAAATTAAATTACACATACAAGTTAGCTTCATTTACCTCATCTCCCTCGTGTAAGAGTCCGCTCTTTTCTGCGGCTCCGCCTCGAACTACTCGACCAATAATAACAGCTTCTCCCTCGTTTCTCACTGTCGCTCCCTGTCAATGGATAAATAAATAATTACGATACAATTTTTTTGTATACAACAAAACAGTTTTCAGACAATTTTATTAGGTCATGATTGGTATAGTATGATGGCAATTAAAACTTTCCTTGTATATATCTGCCTGTAAATCCTGTGTGGAGATATTTAGATCGTAAATTAAAATTCATTTTTTGTGTTGGTGTGTATATGTCACTTAAGAGATTAATGCAATCATTCTCCATCTCGTTATTAACGATTTTGCTTGCATTTTATGAAAAAAGTCTAACAGGTAACGGGTTGAGTAATTTAAGGTGCTTTTGTTTTGGTTCACTAATTTGATTGCTTATTTTGGGTTCATACCGAGAATCAAATGTAGTGTTTAGTTTCATTTTTGGCGATGGTGAATTACTGTTATTTAAGTGATCATTGTGGACATTTTCCATTAAGTAACAAATATGATATTCAGATGCGTTGTGATCTACTGGTGTGCAAGAGCGCCATTTTAGAATAACGTTTCAAAACTGAATTTTTAGAAAGTAATGATAGTATCTAATATCTATTTAATATTTGACATTGAATCACTCTTACATTTGGTTCTGTGATTTAATTAGTCCATTATATCCATATAGTGACATAAAGTAGACAAAGCAGACAATAAAAAAGTTTTGACAGTTTTTTTTTTAATTTATTAAGTATTATAAAATGTAGATTTTTTAGTCAAAATAAAAATTTCAGTTATTAGGTATTTTGGTTTCTCAACATTTTGTGGCTATCAGGAAAACAGATTTAACTATAATTTTAGATTACTAACATGGTTATTTTAAAAAACAATCACAACAGGTTTAACAATAACACAATTTGGTCAACAGATTAACATTATTAGGCACGGACAAGGATTACAAGGGACAGGAAGGCCAAAGATTCTTAGGATTATATTCTAAATTCGGCCTAACTAAGCCTTTATGCAATAATGCAAGAAGTAGTGAGAGAATATAGCTGTAAACGAACAGGTTAAGAAAAGGGTATACATAGCATCCATTTCAGAATTACATGCTTGTTTTATTACAAAAAATAAACAGGTGTATAAATTCTGCACATTTTGAAATTTTAATATCAAAATATATTCTAACTTCTCGGACTGAGCGATGATGCTGCCAAAGAGCTCATCAGATCCCAGTACAGGATATAATGAAAGTCGATAACAATTCCAAAACTAAATTATGCTAACAATTCCAAACTACTTCAGTACTGGCACCCTCGTTCAAGTATTCTTAGTTTATTATATTATAGACCTGTTCAACTCATTTCAATAATTGTTTATGTTCAATTTAGTCTTTTTTGCCAACAATACAGAAAAAAAAATAAAAAAATAATAAAAATTACTTCTTTTTATTTAAATAATTATTTGTTTATTTTGTTATCTTGTCTGTGAAGTGGTGAGCGACAAAGAAGACTCTCCACACACGCAGATGTACAGTCTTTGTGGGGATTTTCTTTCCTTTGTACATTGTTTTAAGCCACTGATTTGTAATTTTGGAAATAAATATATTCTTATTCTTATATTCTTATTCTTATGCTCGCTTGCTATCCAGTACCATCGGCGTTTGGTAGTAAAGTAGACATACCATAATACTGACCAGCTTAACAAAAAGTTTTATTTAGATAGCACAGCTGAATGAGCTTCTCACAAAATGAGAATCCTGGACTATCAAATTCACTTTCATTTCCATACTTTCTCATACCATGTAAATAGATATTAAATAAAACATGCTGAAGTTTACAATAAGATTTTTCAGTTTAGCTAGATGAAAAGATGTATTTGACAACCATAACTAATTGATAGCAGCCCACTCTGCCAGGGGTTCAATTTAACAATGTTTATTTTCATTCTAAAACTGAATACACCTTCTACATGGGAAAGAGGTTTCTCCTTCTTTTAACAATGAAAGATAGTACATGTCTGCATGTAAGGATTTTCCAGGAAATATGTCAACCACTTTACCAAGAGATCAATTTTGACAAATTCAAATAAAAGACATTATAAATCAATTAAATTTAACTTCCTTGTTTTGTTAGAGCTAACCGTGAGATAGGACAATGTTCCTATGTTTCCCTCAATAAAAATAATTTTCATTGATTTAAATTAAAGATTATATCTTAACCTAATCGTACCAGAGGCTCGTTGGTTTTCTCGATCTTGATGATCTTGATGTTTGAGTCCTGGTCTTCATGTTCATGGACGGGTAGTGGAGGGGGCGAGTGATTAACGGTGTTGGGAGTCATTACTGGACTGTGGTCTTCTAGCTCTCTAGTGATGGTGTCATGAGTGTACAACAGCCCTTCCACCTCATACCTCATCAACAGCTCGCACAGCTCCGCAGCTTCCGGCTGTGTACTCGGTTGTAGCAGTTCCACACACTGTAACATAGTGAGAGACATTACAACATTGATTATCTGGGTAGCAAAATGTTCCCGATATTGCTGTGATCATCGTGTTCAGCAGATGTTAAAAATTTTGCCACGACTACGGGAGATGTTTACGATTTCAACTTCATCCCAAGGGATTTCCATGATTTTGACGTAATCTTGGAAGACATGGTGATATCTCTAAGAACATGGAAGACGTTAATGATTTCATCGCATCTGCAGGTAGCTGTGGATCCGTGTGTATTCATGGTTTTACTGCCATATCAGGAGATGTATAACTTGTGGTCTTTATATTGTAAAAACTCATTTAGTCAATGTCGACCCCGGAAAAAACATTGGTCGCCTATTATAAAAATATAGGAATAGGATTCATAGAAATAGCATCTCACCACAGAAAAAAAAACTAACCCAGAATTCTCACTGAGCAAATAAAAACGATGTGTATGAATCTGCTAGTGTCTACACTAAAATCTAGGAGCGCTGCTGTCACTGGCCTGCAAGCTAGACTAGACAGTGGGGGTGGTAGGAGAGAGAAGTGACCTCACTACACTGTTGCTATCAGCTTATCACAAGTAAAATAAACTACCTTTATAATATTACAGCAGTAACAGTGCTCTTAGATTCTGATGTAGACACTAACAGATTCGAATACAATGTTTCTATTGGCTAAGTGAGAATTCTGGGTCAGGTCTTTACTCTGTGATTCTACCCATCTCAAATTTTTATCATATTGAGGTAAATCCCATTAACCCCATCATAGTTATTTGATAATTAAATAAGTAAACCTGCTAAATAATTACAATCAAAAGCTTTAGCTTTAGAAATAATTTGGAAAGGTTCAATTATGTTTGGCAAGCTTTAAATAAAACATTGATAAATAAATGTTTGCTTACTGATTAAATCGAACTCGATGTCAGTGTCTCGACTTCTGGCTTAGACTCTTAGACTCTGTTACAAGTAAACTAACAAGACACAACCAACAGTAATGTGTAACTGACTTGTGTCAGCTGATTGTGAGCTAATTATCACCGCAAATCAGCTGGACAACAATCTACAATGACATCAGTGGGCAGTTGCTATCATCTGCTATCACTGACCATTCATGTTTTAACACAACAGTTTAAATGTTGAAGAAAAAGATTACTGTGCTTTTGAACACCTACTACGACTGGGTATAATTGAAAATGAGTTTGTCATTGATGTTATTTTTATTTTAGCACAAGAATGTTATTGCATTTTGTTGTTACATTTGAACATTCCAACGTCCATGTCACTGGCCCGGCCATGACGGAATTAGTACATAAGAATTATGCTAATATTTAGTACCTATTTCGTACTATTTAGTACCAACAACAAAAAAATTAGTACCCCACTCGGTACCGGATAACTAATTAATTTAGGATTCCGGGCCAGTGACATGCTGGCCCGGCCATTTTCGAATTTGATCCTAATATGTATACCATCATTTAGTACCTATTTCGTACTATTTTGTACCTCCATTAATATAATTTGTACCTCAAAGAAAACCAAGCTACGGGCCCGTTACCTGTACAGGTCAATGACCCCTCAGCCCGGCCATATCGGAACCTATGGTTATAAGCTATACTACTATTTAGTACTTATTTTGTACTATTTTGTACCTCCATTAATATAATTTGTACTTCAAAGAAAACCAAGCTACGGGCCCGTGAACTGTACAGTTCAACGACCCCTCAGCCCGGCCATATCGTAACCTATGGTTATAAGCTATACTACTATTTAGTACCTATTTCGTACTATTTTGTACCCCCATTAAAATAATTTGTACCTCAAAGAAAACCAAGCTACGGGCCAGTTAACTGTACAGATCCATGGCCCTCAGCCCGGCCATATCGGAACCTATGGTTATAAGCTATACTACTATTTAGTACTTATTTCGTACTATTTTGTACCTCCATTAATATAATTTGTACTTCTAAAAAAACTACTAAAAAAACTGAAAGACAAATAATTTTGAAAACTAGGGAATGTTGAAGCCATAATTTTAGTGTAGGGTTTCAGTTTTTTAGAAGATAAGTTTAAAATTGTAAGCCGACGCTAACATTCTACATTCTAGAAATATTGATATTACTTCAGTTTTAGTTGACTACTAAATTCCCGTACGTAGGACGGGCCAACAGCTCGTTAAGTTTTACAACATAAATTAATTAAGAAAAAAGAAAGAAAAAATTAACAAAGTTGTGAACTTAATGTTGAATGATATAAAAAAATCACCACAGTACCCTCGCACCAAAATAGCCTAAACCTCGACACATTGATTACTTGGGTTGTATGAGTAGTACATATTGTTTAATATGAAGAACTAAATAGTTGGAGATAACCACCAAATAACTGCATCACTTGTTAATTATTAAGTACTAAATAATAGCATACCTTATAACTAGAAACTGTGACATGGCCGGGCTGAGGGGTAATTAACCACTAACAATAACATGATTACACATACAATATGTAACATAAGTAGTTTGTTTATCTTTGAGGTATTTTTTTTACCTCGAAAGGTACAAAAAAGTACGAACAAGGTACTAAATAGTAGCATAGCTTATAACTACAGGTTCCGATATGGCCGGGCTGAGGGGTCATTGACCTGTACAGTTAACGGGCCCGTAGCTTGGTTATTTTTGAAGTACAAATTATATTAATGGAGGTACAAAATAGTACGAAATAAGTACTAAATAGTAGTATAGCTTATAACCATAGGTTCCGATATGGCCGGGCTGAGGGGTCATTGACCTGTACAGTTAATGGGCCCGTAGCTTGGTTTTCTTTGAGGTACAAATTATATTAATGGAGGTACAAAATAGTACGAAATAGGTACTAAATGATGGTATACATATTAGGATCAAATTCGAAAATGGCCGGGCCAGCATGTCACTGGCCCGGAATCCTAAATTAATTAGTTATCCGGTACCGAGTGGGGTACTAATTTTTTGTTTGTTGGTACTAAATAGTACGAAATAGGTACTAAATATTAGCATAATTCTTATGTACTAATTCCGTCATGGCCGGGCCAGTGACATGGACGTAACATTCCATTAAGATTGGGCATCATTTTAAATGAAAGTATGGATTTTTATGTTATTTTAGCACAAGAGTGTTACGTTTACATAAATTAATTGGTTTTTGTATATGAATATTGGGTGGTACTGTAGTAAAAAAAAAGGATTTTAACATTTTTTTTTTTTAAGATTGAGTAGATTTTTTTTTTTAATTCTCATAGTAGATTTCTATTCGGCTTAGGTCATTTCTATTACCAGTACCATAGTTTAAAATAATTTTATTTTACTATTTGTTGACCTTTAAAATGTAAAGGTGGTTCAGAGTATATGAATGAGTGATGGTTGAAAAAGTTCAAATAAATATGTAACATCAAAAATGTAAAGTACAATAATTCTAAACTGAGTGCTTTTTACATAAGAGCCTACCATTTACCTTTAACTCCTATCCGTTCAACATTAAATTTCTTAATACCAGCTTAACATCCAATTCTTAAGTTGCGCTCAAATTATTGCAGAAAACAATAGAAAAAGTATCACAAAGATACATTAAATTGTCTATATTTCTTACTACACAGTATTAATTTAATAAAAAGTTTCATGTAGGCCTATCAATAAATTTTTAATAGCCTAACAAATTAATACAAAAAAGTCTTACCAAACCAAACACAAAAACAAAGTAAGGAAGGTATGTTTAATCCCAAGATACAGGCCTTGCATAAAGCTCCCTTTCCATACAGAATGGCAGTGGCCAGAGGGGTGGTGAATTTATAATAGGTTGACATACTACCCTTAGTGGACGGTGACCACTTTAATATTAACCAGCCATAACTACCCTTCTAATTACTTTTCTTTTTATGTACAAGTATTAATTGAAGTGTTAATTATTTTTTTTTAATAGCTTCCCAATCAGTAAATAGCTAAAGTAGTCATAATTGTAAGTCCTACAGTAGGTGGGGTCCACTTTACTTTTTTAACAGAAAATATGTTCATTCAGATGGTTTTGCAGAATATATAATATACATATATGGGTGTCCATCTAACTTTTCCATAAGGAGGCAGGAGTGTCTGAGGGTACAAAATAGCTCCCAGTAAAGAGAGGAGGGGATCCAGGATTCCCTCCCAGATAATAGTAAACGTTTAGGTACAGAATATTTTACTTTACACATTTTTATGTAAACTCCTTAGTCATATGCAAGAGTTATTGACTTTTATATTTTTGTGGTTTTTTTTATATAAATTGTGAATCAGCCCCATCCGATCATAGGGAAAAGGGTTGGGTCGGTGGGTGCGAGGCTGCAGCAAAGTGAAACTGAAAACAGGGCCCGTGTTGCACTAACTTATATGAAAAGTCAATAGGTAGTCATAGTAAAGTAAGTTACTCACATCTCTGACAAGCGTCTGGGAGTTGCTGGTGACAGGTCGATGGGTTCGATGCTGTGGCCAGGTCTGTTGCACTCGGTTGTGCACGGTGAGCGCTCGGCCGAACCCTGGACTTAGCAGCAGTGTTGCCACAGCGCCAGCTTGTGCCTCGAGCGCACAGTAGCTTGGCCCGGCCTTCTTCAGCTGCAACTGGAGTCTCTGCAAACTAGCCACCAGCTCGCCATAGCCTGTGGGAGATGGATGTTGTTACCCTCTGTACATAATATAGCTATCAGCTGAGTGATTAGTGCTGTCCTAGGAATCAGGTTGATCTTGAAAAGTCAGAATGGACAATGGAGACCAAGCGGTCCTGTACTTCGTAATAAAAATACATACCCTTTTTTAATTGTCGCCTCTACCTTCAAAGGAAGAAAAAATAACTTGAATGTTTTACTCAGGATGCCCATAAGTAAAGAGACAAACTCCAAGAATCTATGAACGAAAACAAATAGAAAATCATAAATAAAACTCATTTTGAAAACATTTTGTTCCATTTTTTATTTTAGGAGGAGAATGCAGGTCTAGTCCCCAAGGTCTTGGGTTCAAATCCCGTTAGTAATCAATAGATTTTTATTTTACTGCATCTACTTGATGATGCAGTGTCCCTCTGGCCTAGCATGAAGTAATGTCAAAAACAGTCCTGTGTACATAGCTATAATATTTAAATCAGTTAGGTAATAAAATAAGTTTCAAAAAATCAATCCAAACCAAAGCAAGATCTGTTGCTTAGTTTGCCTCCATAGTGTATAAATTTTATATGACTGAATTTTAATAGTACCAAATGATTTCCTTTGCTGAATATTTCCCTTTAAAAGTCTATCCTCACAAATTCAATTGCAATTCATTACTTACAATTACTAACTCACAAATTTTACATTTCAAGATAAGACATTTTCGTGAAAGCCCGAAAGAAGCTGTGAAGACTGTGTGATCAAAGCTGTCCCAGATTATATTTACTCAACATGTTTTTCTCGCATGATGCCGTATGAGAAGACAACAAGGTTCTGTTTGCTGCTTGGTTAGGCAACCCCCCGACCATGAAGAGGCAAATGAGCGCCAAGACAAAGGGCCAAACTAACCGGAAAATATCTGGTAAAAGTGCGGTTTTAATGTGAGGACGTCGATAGCACTAACTTACCCTGCGTTTGTGGAGCACAGGGAACCCGAACGTCAAAACATGATGTACGACCCCCATCTTGTGTGCAAAGCATATTGAATTGCAATTACAGTACTACTATAGGCGTGATAAGATTAAATAACATTTTCGACAAAGCCTAAGAAAAAGTCTTCATCGATTGTGCTTGGGTTGTATTTAAGTATCAAGAGCCATAAAAAATGTATTGCAGAAATCAAACTAATACACTAAAAAGTTGATTGTTATTTAATTGAAGGAGTGTTTTCAAACTATAACTTAATTCAATTTAATAAAGATACGTATACAGGGCGGCCCTAAAAAAAGTACTCATCATTTTACGGCAATTAATTATTATTTATTAGCTGTACAAACTTGCTCTACTCTACATGTTTTCCTCCATTGTTTATTACATAAAATTCGTCTTTGCATGTTTTCAACCATTCCTAAACATTGTTGTGGAGTAACGTCAAAAATATAATTGTAAGTAGAAGTTTAGATTTATTTTTATTTTCTGTTTTACTCATTTTTTGGCCACCCTGTACAATAATATTCGTAGTTCTATTTTCAAAAGCACCACTAATCTATACTTATTTAATACGCAAGCAGGATTTTTGTGACAATTACTCCTCCGAAACAACTCAACCGATTGACATGTTTTTGGTGTCATTGGAAAGAGCGTAACGTGAAGTTGTGCAGGAAACTTTCGTTTTAGATAAATAATTAAGAGAGTGAGGCCCTGGGGCCCTTTAAAGTTTCGTATTTCTCCTTAATATTAACATGGGAAACAAACATTGTTTTGAAACTCCAGCTGTTGTCAGAAATTAAACATTAATAATTGGTCTCCATGGAAGCATGAGAAAATTCACAATGTTTACAATTGCTTTGTCATTTAAATGTAAACAATCAGAACTGTCAAATGCCTATTTCACAATTTCAGACAGCTGATCCAAAAAATAAAACAACTATGTGGTAGGTTTATTTTAATCTTAAACTTTATGATAGACTAGCTGTAACCCGCGGGCTTTGCCCCGTTTAACTTCTTAATTTTCAAGATGATCTCGTTCGCATGGCTCAATCACGTCCTGGTTGAAGTTCGTTCGCTACGCTCACTCACCTTTAGGTTGGAGCTCGTTCGCTACGCTCACTCACCTTTAGGTTGGAGCTCGTTCGCTGCGCTCACTTGCCTTCAGGTTAGCTCGTTCGCTACGCTCACTCACCTTTTTGGTTGCAAATTAGCTGTTGTCATAAATGTAAAAGAAATAATAGTGCTGCACCCTGTTGGTAATCCTTGTAACTTTAATGCTATTGAACATCATAGAACAGAACCAACTTGTTTAATTGAAACAGCTGTTAAGATTCATTAATTCCATTTCTCATAAGGTTAACATGGGAAACTCCAGAGCCACTGGGGCGGAGCCTATTGGACGGATCACGAAATTGATGGTGTATAAACCTATTCCATGACATTCTACACGTATGTACCAAGTTTCGTGGCAATCGGTTCAGCGGTGTCCGAGTTTATCACCCCCAAACAAACAAACAAAACAAACAAATATATATACAAACATCCTCTTTTATATATATAGATTATATATATAGATTATTTATTACAATGATATAATAAATGATATAAGTTATTAATTAATGAATTTTTATTTTAATGATTTGGCATATAAGTATGCCTATGATAAATAACACCATTTCAGAGTTCTGCCAGTTTTTGCCTAACACTGTTCTGTAGAGTTTAAAGTAGCCTACACCTTATTGTCTACAAATTGGCTAAATAACTTAGGTATGGCAAATTATAAAAGCTGACAGATTTTTTACGTTGACTTAAATTGTAAGCTTACCTTTTCCCGTCCATTAGCAGTTTGTTAGTTAAAAATTTAAACTGGAATAGGACCGTTAAGTAAATTGTAAGTATTTCCATTAGTTAATAATCTTTTAGTTGACTCTTTTAAAATCATAGGAAATTATGACTGTTATCAGTTTTTAAACAAGTCATTTGTTTATATGTAACTCCTGTACTTCTTTGCAATTGCTCGATTTCGAGCAACATGTACACTAGTAAAATTGTTAAAATAGAATTTTTAAAGTTACTGTGACGTCAAAGTCGTCTAACGAAATTTCAACTAAGGAAAGTTGAAAGAATAAATTAATTGCGTCGTTTGGGTCTAATAGATTTCCCAACTAAGAAAAAATAGAAAAATATAAACGCAAGGAGTAATAAAATTATGTTGGGTCCATTAAATAAAAGGAAATTTTAAAATGGTTCTGTTATCTCACACGGGAATTGAACTAGAGTAAGGCACAGTCTAATTTAATTGTGTGAGATAAAAATGAACAGTGTTACCACAGTAAAAAGGTTTACTCGTTTCAGAGGCGTTAAGCCCTGTACACACCGGAGCGATACTTTATCGCTGGAGTGGCGCGATACTATTCCTAGAATTTTATTTGCGATACTTGTGCGATAATATCGCAGCGAAAAGCGGTGCTTCCACACCAGAGCGGGAAAGGGACGCGCGGGAAAGCCAGTACACCTCAGAGCGTAGGGTGCGGTGATTGTGAGACTCTCTAGTTGTTATAAAAGTGTTGTTTTATAGTTAGTGTTTGTATACTGTACTCTGTGTAGTGTGTAAACTTAAACCTATGACATCGTCTGACGAAGAAGATTTGCTGTTACTAGCCGTGCTAGAAGATGAAAGAGCAAGGAAAATGTGGGTACACGACATCAATAAAGAACGGTTGATCCAAGATGTGTGAATGCTTGGGAATTCTATTGTAAATTCTTCAGAAAAACTCAGCTTGATAACAAATAATAAAGACGAACCCTATTCTAAATTTCTAGTTGCTAAAACGTGATTTAATGAAAAGTTAACATGATTTGCTATAATACAGTTTGTTCTTTTCTGTAAATGTATATAGATACATTTTTGATCAAATCTCATACCTTTATAAATTCTATATAAAGTATCTTTAATTTTCATTTGATACATCATGTAGTTTTGTAATACTGTAGTTAGTTACTTTTTTGTTATTAATGTTACTTGACCTGAAGGAACCAGCGTCGTTGGTTTAACATCTTGTAAAATAAAATCATAAGTCAAGAAGCACATAAATAAAGTACTAAAGTAATAAAGGTAGTGTTTTCTTGAAAATTGCAGAGAACAGAAGAAACTGAGTAGTTCATAGTTTGGCCACATTGGTATCGCCGCGATACAGCGCTGCAAACAGTGCATGCAGCGTTACCGCGATACTATCGCTACGGTATCGCATTCGCCTCGGTATCGCGTATCGCGGTTCGCTCTGGTGTGTGCGGCTCCATAAGGCTCCATGGTATCGCACGGACCACTGGTATCGCAAGAGAATTTCCAAGAAAAAGTATCGCGCCCGCTCCAGTATCGCACGGAGTATCGCTCTGGTGTGTGCAGGGCTTTAAACAAGAATCGAAAACACCGAGTCGGTAAGGTACCTTTTCTGTGTTCAATAATTAAATAAGTATCAATAGGACATTTATGTAAACAGAAATTGAACATAGCCGAGACGGAAAACGTCATTTGAGTTCAACACGGAGAAAACAGGCATTTACATACCGAGAAATTGCTACATTGGTGTTAATTGTCCAATAAGCACATGATAAGAGCGACGGCAAAGCAGATTGCAGCGATAAATGTTTTGCAGTAGTTGCAATGTAAATAACACGTCTGGCTACGTCTTTTCATTGTGGTTGAAATAAATGTGTATATGAGTTTAGGCGTTGCATAGAAACTCCTAAATAAAAATGTATATATACATTGTGAACACTGTACAAATTTGTGAACTTACATTGTCACTAGATCATTCATGACATAGTTTTACCCCCTTGAACTCGTATTCCAATAAAATTACGAACAAAATAAACATCCAGATTTTCCAAAAACAAGTTACGCTAAAATTACACTAACAATTTTGAAACTCCGAAGAAAGACTACCGCACTAAACTATTATCACATGCCACAACCCCTTTCACTCACTGCTCACTTTGAGGCGAATTTACACTCAGAGGCTACACACACTGCACCGATCTCACCACAGACTGCTATAAAGAAAGCGTACGAAGGTAGAAGAGTGCCTACGAAACGTGAGCGCTGAACAAACTCACTGTCTCACTCACTCTATCTACAAGCATTGTTGTCGTCCCCCTCCCTTCGCCCCGCCTACGGTAAGGTGCCTTCCCGCTCACGGAATACGAAATGACTTCGCCTTCCCCTCAGAACTGAGCTATAAGTGCCGACAAAAACTCAGACAAAACACTCGCCTTCGCCTCCAGGGGATGTAGTAACACTTCGGCCCAGTAACATTTCGGCCAAACTCAAATTTCTTAGAAAAACAGTAACACTTCGTCCCACTCGCTTTTACAGATGATTAAATAAGCTAATGGAGTAACATTTCGGCCCGACGAAAAATTGACAAGGGTTAAGGAACGCAGTTTAGGTAGAGGTAGTAAGAGGCACATGACCTGTATACTTTGCAACCACCCTCTGATGGAATGTCGCCCAACCGTCACCCCTTGCATCCTCTGACCTCACATGACGGGGAATCGGTGGAATCTTACCTAACCTAACCTAACCTAACCTAACCTAACCTGTCAAATATTTTGTTGGGACGAAGTGTTACTAGTGGGCAGGTCGAGAGTTGGACCGTAGGCCACATCTGAGGGTTTCGGGCCGAAATGTTACTGGGCCGAAGTGTTACTTGGGCCGAAGTGTTACGACACGCTCCAGGGCAGGTGAAAAGGTTACAGGTAGAGGGTGTTAGTCAGGTGAAGAGGGGGAGTTTTTATCCTTGGAATGATAGTGGATGTTGTACAGGTAGAAATAGTCTGATATAGTTTCATTTGGCTTTGGAACAAGTGAAAAGGGAAGTGTTTCTTTAATTTAGAACTTTACAGGGTGGTGTTACTATTAAATTTCAGGTAGTTATGAAGACTTGTGGTCGGAAAATCACTATGCAATTATTATATTATTTGCCGATTTTACAGATGCCTTTTTTGGGTGGACATAAAACATGTTTCTTTACGCATTCAACACCCAAAACTAAGTGAACAACTACAAAACGTAGCCTCTAACCTGCTAGTTAGTATGGTACTCATTAAAACCAGTTTAAATGCATAATTTAATCACGATTTGGAACAATGTGTATATCAATATGGGCTTTAAGTGAACAACTACAAAACGTAGCCTCTAACCTGCTAGTTAGTATGGTACTCATTAAAACCAGTTTAAATGCATAATTTAATCACGATTTGGAACAATGTGTATATCAATATGGGCTTTGTTGAGCAATCTTTTGTAAGTCACGGCCCATTTAAGGCTATGGGCCACTGCAACAAAATTAACATATACCTACTTTAAATTGTGTTTTAGTTCAAATATTACTCTAAGTTATAGCCCGACTAAATGTTGTGATTGTGCGCACAAAACATAACTGACCTTAATAATTACGCAAATTATTGGTCTTTAAATAAAATATTGAAACAGCGTTAAAACTTAGGGGGTTGCCGTAGACCCCGGTTTTCCTTACAACCAAATAAAATGTAATAATCAGATAAAACATGATTGTAAATTTAATATTTAATAGTACTGCATAGGCCTAATACAATTATTTTTGGTTGTTTGATTTAGTTTTAAGTTCGATTGGAGAAGGTTTTGTTTACATACCTAAACATTGTTCAGTTTCCCTAACAAACATTGTTATACAATATTTTACTGGTTCTAACCTCACTATGTTTAAATATTTTTATTTTCAGCAGAAGATGGATAAAATAAGTTTCTGTGGACAGCCTGAAGATGGCTCCAAGACAGGACCGAAACTTGCAGGTGTATTACCATAAACCATTTTCAATTTTACATGTTTCGGAGATATAGCAATTTTCAAACAAAATGCGAAGATCTTCAAATACCCGAAAACCTACAACAGTTAAAAGTCTGAGGAACTTTGTATGGCGGAGGCCTTGACACCTACCTAACACCTCTTCGCCATATGGTCAGGCCTAAAATAAACATTTGCTGGGCGATATGTGGAAAATATGTCGACAGTAGGGTTCATAATGTGTTCAAAATGTGGCGGTTTAACACTTAGGGCGTTTACTGGACAAAATGTTTACGTTTGCAAATTAATAATAGTGCCGCTTGTTATTACATTGAGACGAGGACACAATTGTACTATTTTTAGCCCGAGGTGACGGATGAGTGCAAGAAGAAACCTTGTTCAGCTGTGTTGATGTGTTGCTTACTAAAATCAGCTGTTAATAGCCAGGACCATTTAAAAGCCAATCAAAGACAGCTGGGTCCAGTTTTGAAGTGTCATAAACCTTATTGACTTTTCTTAGGATCAAACTGGCGGCCTTCTCATGTTAGGAGAGCAATAATAGCACTATAATCATAATCAACAATTCAGCTATCAATTCTATGTAACAACGTATTGCTGAAATGAATGCTACGTGAGTTTGGTTTAGTCTAAGGTTAGATGATCTCTGCATTGTTTAGACCAGTTTAACAGATGGTTTTTGGACTTATGAAATCATTTAGTAAGGATCATCTAATAAAATCTCCAATGATAAAGGACACCTGAGCTCATTTTCGAACCGCCAAAAAGCTACTGCCTTCTCTCAGGATTGAACCGGTAACCTTATAACTTCTAAACAAGCACCTCAGCTTTGTACAGTTCGCCAGCCGTAGACGTTTAGTAGCAATATGCTAATGAAATCATTGTGTTTGTTGATGGGGTGGGAGTCTTGCATCATTCCCCCTTCCGGGATCACTACTGACCTAATTATGACGGGAAATCTACGCTACGTCTTTCGCGCCACGACACGCCATTGGTGAGAAACAACCACGTGACGTCAAATTATGACTCTAATCGCAAATAGGCTTAGATTATCGGGTTTAAATCCCAACAATCTCCAATAGTTTGATCTATTATGTAATAATGCCGTAACTCAGAGGTTCAGGGCTCACCAAGTTCCACCTATCACGAATTGAAAAGATCGGTCAATGTATCTTCTTAAAGGCCATACGATCATTCCACTTAAGTAACTTAATTAAATCGTTAACATATTAATGAATGAATAGTTTCTATGTCAAATAATAGAAAGAATATTTTCTTCGAGTGGTCGATTTATTATTTTTATTCTAGCTCATTAAATGTGCAATATTTTGCAAATGTATATACAAGGACAAAACCAAAATCTATTCAAGTAATGCTAGAAATACGGAAACAAAAAATGTTTAGTAGTTGGTGATAATTCTGCGTATACGGCAGCGATGCACTAAGCGAATATGCAACTGCGCCTGCAATGAATCAGTCTTCTAATTTAACATTACTGCGTACGGCGGGTAGCAGAGTAAAGAATTGCAGGCGCTTTACTTACCGCATTACCATAAAGCCATAAACTGTGCAGCCCAACCAGAGCGGGATTATCTAAACTATTTGCTTGGTTGCTTGTAAATTATATCAAAATTGTTGTATTGACGGCAGCTTTAGCAGTTATACAAATTTATTTTGAAGTGTACCCAAACAATAAAGGTATTGGTTTTACAGCGTGTCCTGGCATAAATAAATTCTTTGAAATTTGTCATATTCCACAAATAACTAGCCTATGTTACTATTTTTTGAGACTAGTGAAAATTGAAAAAAGGAAGAATTTCTTGTCTCTTAAAATTGACACAATTTTAAATGCCTGTAGATAAAAATGAGTAGGTTATGCTCAAATATATCTTCGTAAATTAGACGTCTAATTCTATTTATAGTCAGAGAGGAAATGTAGGGCAACTTCTGAATATCGACCCCCCTGTAAAGCAACAAATGGTAACCAAATCTATGTGTATGTATAGTCAAAGGTGTAGTGAAAAGTTAAATTATTTTGTACGTCACGAGTAAAAACCGTTCTTAATTTTCCCTTTTAAAACTAACCCACACCCTTATTTTACCAGCCCTTATCACCTACACATCCTAGGGTGGTCGGCTGTCCAGAACTGATATACATATCAATAGGCCTATAGAGTCGCGGCACCATAACACATAAGGTTTGGTGATTAACAGGATTAGAACCCGTTACCTCAGAGATAAAAATTATGGGCGAGCATTAATTGCGCCAACTGACCTGACGACAGAGTCAGGTAGTGGTAGTAGTATTCCTGAACTGCACCAACTAATCCAGGGAGCCACCCGATGCGTTAATAATCGGTTGGCGGCCGTCTTTGAGTGTATAATTGAGTAGGTTAGGATAGGTTAGGTTAGGTTACATTAGGTTAGAATAGGTTAGGTTAGGATATGATAGGTTAGGTTAGATTAGAATGACACACGTGACACGTAAACAAGGACATTCCTTCTGCCGGCAACTCACACCTACCTGGCTTGGGCTTGGCGCAATTAAGGCACATCTTTTGGCGACCTTGAGGGCTTGGCGCAATTCAGGAACTCTTTGGCGCAATTAATGCACGACAAAAATGATAGCCAACCCTATACTAATAGCTATAAATAACGTTACTCACTGATGACTTTATGCAGGGTGTCCTCGAACACGTCGTCCGTGTCAGAGACTCCTGCGTCGGCGACCTGGGTCTCGTCTTGAGAGAAGGCATCATTGTCCACCCCGGTGGTGCCGCTCTCCAGCGCCTGTAGCTTCTTGGAGCCCCTCAGGGAACGGTTCAAGAACTCGTTCTGGGCAGCGACTCGTTCTTTTTCAGCCCGTTCTCTCCTCTTCACCTCCTGTGGACAAGTTAAAAATTAAGTTGCACGAAAAGTATTCAAGTCCGCTCTTCCCACGATTACTAGAAAAATACTTCCGCTTTTGGGGAAAATCGTTCAGTTAGTAGCGTTGTAATGTAAATCGTTGTAAATTGTTCAAAAGTTCTGAAAAGTTTCTTTCCCCCACTATAAAATAATTCGGACAATGTTATGAATTTTCTAGTTTTATGACACCAAAGAATACTTAAACATATAATTTGCCATTCTTTTCATCACTATTACCTAATAATGCCGCTATTAGTAACGAAATGTATCCATCGAACGATAGCTCCAGTAATGAACGAAAATGAGAGGTAAATTTATTCATTGCTGTTTTACAATATTTAAAGCTCGTTTGAACGAATAAAGCTATGCAATAATAATCTGTTTCTCATGCTCTGATATTGTAACCAAAATAATGTACGCATAGTAACAATTCCGATCACATAAGATACACTTCACCTTTAATATCCTCTAGGTTTATCGGACATTAAACACCCGTCAAAACACATTCAGATTTTAAAATAAGAAGTCGTCTACTAGCAGTACCTACAGGCAAGGCTGTGAGAGAACATATACTGTATATCGAGCTGCTTGTATTCGGCGATCTTTGTGTTATATTGAAATAAGAAAATGTTACAGGTAAAATAAGAAAATTATAAAAATACCTTAAAATTAGACAGGCATTAAAATCGGATGAGTTTTCCACTTTATTTAGTAACAGACTTCCTCACATTTTGTATCGTTAGAATTGTAAGAAATGTTTCTAAATAAAATATTGCAATAGCAGTTTTGTTTACCGATGTAGTTTTTAGTTTATTTCAGCATAAGCTTTTAATCGCGGTAATTTTGAAACCAAACATGATAAAGGAACTTATGTACGATTGCAAGCATGGATTTAACAAATTCGATAAAATACGTAACAGACATTCGACAAGGAGGGCGGTCTAAGTAGGCCATAAATATCCTGCTTTATGTGGGAATTCTCGGGCATCCTATGAGATTTAAAGGTCCATTTATATTTTCGTGAAAAACTGCAGCATGATTTGCATAGTAACGTTTATTTTACCTGGAGAATACTGCATTTAAAGCATAACGTTTAACAAATTTCAAACTGTTATTGCATGATCATTTATTTCATAAGTTATTATCAATTCGACAATTTTACGACACATACAATAAAACTAATTGCAGAAATACATGGACGGAGTTCAAATTCTTTTTAAATTTCTTGACACTATTTATATCTTCGAAATATTGGAGAACACAACTTAGCCTACCGCTAAAATAAACGACAAATTACTTTCACAATCAGTTTTAGACTAAAATGCCTTAAACATTTTGTACATTGATAATTAAGCATGTGTTGGTATCATATGTGCAGTAGATAATGTTTCAAACGGTTGTTCAACCCGATTTAGTCTTTTTATGCAATTAGTAACTTACCGTAAGCAACGTTATTAATAGCATAATAAGTATTTTATAGGTGACACAAAAAATATAATTATATTTTACAAGAAAAGCATTCAAGTGTTAAATTAACTTGTGTCCCGAAAATTGTACCTAATTCACAAACGTAAACAGTAATATTTTACTTATATTAGTCAGAAAATACATTTAAAAAATTGAAGTAAAAATTTAAACTTTTAATACCTTCATTTTCAAAACGGAATGTCAAATTGCCTCCGTAAATAATAGACGCTGTCGAAAGTGACGCGGAATAAATCAAAATGGAGATTTCGAAAATTTAATCGCTGTCAGCGAGAATAAAGCGATGCGCCGATTGATAAATGGACGTTCAACATTCAACCTGTTGTTATATTACCTGGTTGCAGTTTTTGGCAATCCGCCTGTAGTAGGTAGGGGTGTCACTAACCATATCAGCTGACTGTTGAATCAGGTGTACCAATGGTACCAACACGCAACATATGGCCTACAGTGGTGCCAACGTGAAAAATATACCTGCGGTCGGTGGTACAATAGGAGAGAATGTTTACGTTTCGACCAATAAGGTGTCGGTATAATTATGGTACTGTTTATAGACATTTTGTTGGATGGAAGATTATTCTAAAGCAGCTCGGTGTGTTAAGAGCGGTGGTCATTGATTAATACATTTATAACAACCGCGTATTTTCCTATTTTATTATGTAGCCTAAAACCTTTCGGTTACGTTAAAAATATCAACGAATAATTAAGATCTTCCAATATTCAGTAAACAAGCATTAAATCTCTTTCTGGCCGTAGGAAGGAAGGAGTATTGCCCACTTTGTGTCTGGAAAAGGTACTGGCACTTATTTACTATAAGGAAAGGTTTGTTTAACACTATAAAAGCCGAAAAAAACAATTTATGTGGATGAAAAATGCGATACTTTCCAGCATAGATGCCATGTTGGACATCTATAGATTTTCACATTTCCATAAGAGTTTGAGTGTAAATGAAATTTTCTGTTTGCCAACAATATAATAACGAACATTTACCAACACTTTACTCGTGTTAGATTTAAATTTTCTGTTTTAATTCGACAGCTGCGTAATGCAAATTTGGCGTTGATAATTATTTTAGCAGGGGTTTATTGACTAAACAATAACAAAACCAAAATCGTTGACCATGCTAAGATTTGAAAATATGATGTTAACAGATGATTTCGTGCTAAACACACATTAAATTATTGTGAAAGAAGTTATAAAAATTCAATTTAAACAATTCGAAAATTATATGAAATACATTTTTAAGCAAACATTTCGTGACAATCCTCGTATTCAAATTGCAAATGAAAAGCCAATTGAGTGAACGGACGATTTGACACAGCATCCTGACCGATGCGTGGAACCATTGCCACACCTGATGCTACTTCCACTTCCGCTCATCTCAATCCGGAACTTCCGGCGCGAAGGACACATTGCTGCCAACATCGCCGCAACAAATTTACCCGCGGGGCCACAACTAATCAAGGGACGATTTTTAGTATCGTGTTCGTGTCGCACATTTCGGCACATGCTTGATTTTAGTTAATTTAATTACTAAATGTGGCCTATGTGGAATTTAAGTTTGTATTAAGTTAAAAAGTATACGATTTAAAATCAGAAACCGCTTAACTACCGTATACCTAAAAGTATAAATATTCTGAAAATATTTTTTTCTGGCGTATTTCGTGGAAAATGTATAATTTCCTTAATCACAACATACTTCATGTATATGAATACGAATTTTTCCACTAAGGAAAGAACACCCACATTCACAAGATAAACAGGTAATTTATGATAAGGGTTACGCAATGTGTGTGGCTTATTACTTTTACTACAAACTCAGTGACGTTATAGAGGCATTTCCACCGTGTTCTACTGCGTAATTAAGTTCACTTGGTGAGCACGTCAGTCACGATAGTTTTACAACCCCAAGACCTCAAGTAGTAAGACTTCCACTATAGCTAGGTCGGGCCGAGATGGACATTATCAGGGTTACTGCCGTGTTTATAGGCCACAAACATCATAGACTATATTGCCTCTCCAACATCAAATGACCATATGCAATTTTCTTCTTTTGATTTTAAAGTGACTGTATATTTCGTGGACTGTACCATTGACTAATGTATATATAGTCAATCACTGTACGTAAAAATATTGGACAAGGAAAATCCTAAAGCAGTTGCGTAGATGCACCATTATTACACAATATTCGTTATATTCGTATCTCAGAGTAAATCAATGTTAAGTCAGTTATTGAATGGAGTATTAGAATATAGCCTGGGCGGGCATTAATTGCGCCAACTGGCCTGAGTCAGGAAATAGGGTATTCCTGAATTGCGCCAACTACTCCAGGAAGCCACCCGATGCGTTCCTTAACTTCGCCAAAAGTGGCGGCCCTTTTTGAGGGTATAATTGAGTAGGTTAGGTTAGGTTGGATTAGGTTAGGTTATGTTAGGTTAGAATGACACGTAAGGACATTCCTTCTGCCGGCAACTCACCCCTACCTTTCTTTAATTTAGCGCAACTAAGGATAATGTTCGGGGACACTTTGAAGACTTGGCGCAATTAATGCACGACCTATAGTATATCCCGAGCGTAATCAAACCAACCTTGAACGTGAGCACTACATTCACTCGGGCACTCAGACAATTAATTTATCACAAAATGAACTACAAATATTGTGCAGTAGTAACCTCAATTTAAAAATTTCTTTTCTAAACAAACCAAAATACACGTTCTTGTTTAATTCATATTGCGTCCATGACTTAATTCAGTATAATTTTCAGCTCGAACCGAACAAAAAGTTGCAAACACGAAACATAAACGTCATTCAAATTGTGGAACAACAAATGCGATTCTATAATACGTGACACACTTGGCAGGGGCAGAACGCCATTCAATACATATGCAATTTGGCAAACCGCCCAGTAAAACACCATGTGTTCCACAAAGCCCATTCTCTGTTGTACTCCAAACGCTGCTCCAAACGTGTGTACACTACTAACTTTCACGTACCCGAATTACTAAAAATGAAATTAACTACGGAAAATCCAAAACCATTCACTTTGTTTCCCAACTTATCACCTTATCAATAGTGCGTTGATCACTAACCAGCAACACCAAAACTACTCACACTCCGACGCGTAAGCCAAGGGGGGCGTATCTGATATCTTATCTCGAGGAGTGAAAACTACAAACCCCATAAATAATTGTACATATTTACCGTGTAACGGTGTATGGGCTCAAGTAAGATGTCGACCATGGTACCCACTCACACACACTGAGTCAGGTAGATGATAACGGCTATCAACATTATCACTGGTTTATCACTGCGACAAGGCGTTACCGAGCTAACCGCAAATTAAACCAGGCGTTTGTAAAAACAATGGTGATATTGTTTCAGTATTTCATGCGGAACTTTCTGTTTTAGAAGGGTCTGATTTGTTTGAACGGATTAATAAAATAAATTGTTCTACCTAAGTTACATTCAATGAGTATCCTTATGCCGGTAAATG